GCAATCGCTGCTGCTGGATATCTATGGGTCGTGGGTTAGTAGACAAGAAATTTGTTTTCACAATTTCACACAGCTACTTGCTTTGCGTTAGGTTGGGTTTTTTTGTTTCAGGTAGTCAGGATGAAAAGCGCAACAAGTATAAACTGTTTTTGGAGTGTACGCTTATTCTGACTAGTGTGATCCCTCCTGAATTACCTATAGAACTTTCGCTGGCTGTCAATACCTCGTTGATAGCTCTCCAGAAGCTAGGTAAATTTCCATATAGACGTTTTTTCTTGACAAAAAGCATTGCCTTGTTTTTAGGAGTATTCTGCACTGAACCATTTCGCATTCCTTTCGCTGGAAAAATTGATATTTGCTGTTTTGACAAGACTGGGACGCTTACCACTGATAACCTAGTCGTCGAGGGAATCGCATTCAGGTGTGCTTACCTGTATTTTCCCAACTTCATCTTACTTACTCGCTAAAACGTGAGGTGTTTCAGCTCCAGTGAAGAGAATGGTATTCTGAAAACAGTTGCTGATGTTCCATTGGAATCTATACAGGTATCTTCTGGTAGTTTCCGTCGAGAAGTGCAATTTTCAAAATGACTTGGATAATTAAAACCCTAACCATGGGTTATTGAAGGTTCTCGCTTGCTGTCACAGTCTTGTTCGATTCGATGACGATCTTGTTGGCGACCCCCTCGAAAAAGCCTGTTTGACATGGTGTGAATGGTCGCTTACTAAAGGTAGGTTCGCAGTAATCTCCCCGTACCTATCAGTAAGATTAAGTTTGACGTATTTTGTGGCACTTGACTACTTGCTGAGTTTTCTTTTAGGAGACGCCGTGTTACCGCCAAAGGGATCCAAGTTAACCGGCTTGAAAATTTTCCATCGTTATCATTTCTCTTCCGCGATGAAACGAATGACAGTTGTTGCCGGATATCAGATTCCAGGCTTCCAAGAACCTAAAATGATAGTGGCTGTAAAAGGAGCTCCAGAGACGCTTCGATCTATGGTTTGTGTTGATCATTTTGAAGCTAGATTTTGCCTAAAGAAAGTTGTTTTATAGTACGAAAATGTCCCGAAGGATTACGATGAGGTTTTCACGAATCTCACTCGGCAGGGCGCCCGAGTGCTGGCAATGGGAATCAAGGATCTGCCTCAAACAAGGCTTGGAGAGGTGGACATAAACATAAGTACGCAATAATAATTATTGAGCTATGAATTTGTTTCAGCTAAGAGATGCTAAACGAGAAGCTTTGGAGACAAACTTGCGATTTGCTGGATTTGTAGTGATATCTTGTCCTCTCAAGCCAGACACAAAGGCAATGATAAAAGAAATTGTGGAAAGCTCTCATAAGGTTAATTTTTATCTCTTGATTGATTTAGTATTGTAGCAGCAACTTTTTAAATCTGTGAGATAATCTGCAGGTGGCCATGGTAACTGGTGATAACCCATTGACGGCATGCAATGTAGCTAAAGTTCTCAAATTCATCAGAAAGAAGGTACCTACCTTAGTGTTGGACGAGCCTATGGACAAGTCTGCAGCGTGGATGTGGAAGGTGTTGTTTTGGGCAATCAAATCAAATCTTTTGCTGATTTTTCCACCAGTCATGGAAGGGCTGTTACTTTTTTTCTAGGCAGTGGATGAATCTGTTGAGTACGATGTGATTCCTTACACAAACAAGCAACAATTGAAGAAGTTCTTCATGGAAAACGAGTTCTGCATTACTGGGCCGGTATGATACCTCCACAGATATTTTGGGTTCATCCAGTTAGGGGGGCATGTTGTGCCACAATTCATATCTCTCAAAGTGCACGTAAAGGAAGGACGGAAGCTCCGGGGTGGGTGTAAAAGCGAAAGCGAAATGGCTCACACCCTCTGACTTTCTTTTCTTGCGAAAATTGAATTTTCCTTTGGCTTCTCCGCACAACATGCCCCCCGTTGTGGATGAGGCTCTACACTTTCTTCAATTTTTCATTTTCAGGCGTTTTCCTATTTGTTGGAGAACAAACACAATTTTCTACGTGACATCATTATGTATGTTCGAGTGTTCGCGAGAATGGCGCCTAAACAAAAGGTAATTGACGTTTTCTGCTTTTAATCCATCTACTGGCATTTCGAATTGCTCCATAACTGCGAAAGCATTCTTTGGCAATTCCATAGTTGGGAAGAGCTAGCCATCGTTGACATCTTTGTGGCGAGGAGGGCTAGTAAGTTCACAGGAGTCGAGTTATTCTGAGAACTGCGAATGAAGCAACACGCCAGTAGAAGTCTGTCGTAGAGTCTACTCAGTGAGTGGGATAGAGTGGCCCACGACGGATGTGCGTTCCGCCTAGATTCAAAAATGCGCGACAATTGCGGCTAGAGTGTCTTACAAAAGGCTAATCTTTAATATATGGGCAAGTTTACGTGGCGCACAACCCATGACTCGCTGTTTTGAGGTTCATCGACGGTTTTCTTTGCTTCCTTTCATTTTTGGTCAGTTCGGTATGCACAGCTTCACTGCGATCCGCTGCGACCCCACCAAATTTAATGTGGGATGTTTCTTGGATGGGTTATGCTACCCTTTGCTGCCACTTTCGTTAGTTGTCTTGAAAGCCTGAAGTTGGCGTGTCGTTACACAGCACTATTTTTCATATATTTCTCAAATATACTCGAGATCCGTAAGTTGGGGTAGGCGTGTCACCGGAAGTGACGTGTACTTGATAGAATCTATGTGGACCAATATACATCGCGAGATATCAGCAAAGCATGCTGGCAACGACTTATCTACGCAACTTCTATCAAGTCCACGTCACTTCCGGTGACACGCCTACCCCAACTTTCGGATCTCGACTGTATATTAGTGATTTGTTTAGATTTGATGCTTTAGGGGAAGTTTTTCGAATATGAAGTGGCCTATGTTTTGAGAATAATCCACAGTCCTTTAATTGTCAAACCACGATCTCCTATTTTCTTCATTTACAGCATCACCTATGCTTCAACTGCAAACGGTTCTTCTTTCGAATGTTCACTGTTTTCCAGGAACGTATAATTAATGAATACAAATCACTTGGTTGGGTGACGTTGATGTGCGGTGACGGAACCAACGATGTCGGTGCTCTTAAACACTCCAACGTCGGTGCGTTAGTTGACCTCATAGGTTGTTTCAGTCTTTTGATGTCACAATGCAGTGTAAGCTACTGCATTTGGATTAGTAGTGCATGAATTACTGGACCGAGATGTTTAAGGTGTTGCTATTTACTTATCAATCCGTATTGAGCAACGGTAAGCGGCTGAGCAGAAGGAGAAGGAGAAGAAGGAAAAAATTGACGAGGCGCGTCGTCTTATACAAGTTGGTGCAGCACCTCCCGTACCCGCTGGAATACCACGACCGTTGGGGCGACGTGGATGAAGCCCGGCCCCGCGCTGTAGGGCCAGGTATTTACTGATATATTATCGCGGATGCAGCAGACGTTGCGAGAGACTATCTATTCTGTTTGCTTAGGAGCACTCACCCTTCCGTAGTGAATGCCCAAACCAAACTGGAAAAGCTCATGAAGGAATTGGAAGAAGAGGAACGAGCGTCGATCACAAGGCTTGGAGACGCATCTATAGCTGCTCCTTTCACATCAAAGTACACGAGTATAGCATCTAGTGAGTTTTGCTCCGTTCTTTTATGGCTTACTTGTCATGTTTCGGTGTCACGGTTCTGGATAAATTTTGAAAGGTGTAGTGGAATGGTATGCAAATAGCAGTGAGTAAATGATGGCTTTTTTCGCGCCGTCATCGTTCAATTATTGACATTTTGATTCTTCCAATAGTGCCGGAGTATTGGCTTGCCTTGATCGTTTGATCGTTTTCGGTGAAAATGCTATCAGCGTTGAATAATGTTGAGGAATCATGTTGAGTCTTCATGCGCAATTCAATTTTTCTATATAGATTTTCTTCATTCCAGTATGCCATGTCATCAAGCAAGGACGATGTACATTGGTGACTACTCTCCAAATGTTCAAGATTCTTGCCCTGAATGCGCTTGTGTCAGCGTATTCGTTATCTGCTCTTTATATGGATGGTGTTAAGTTTAGCGACACTCAGGCTACAGTTCAGGGACTACTACTGGCAGCTTGTTTCCTATTTGTATCTCGCTCAAAGGTAATTAATATGTCAAATTTGTATTGTACCTTTCTTAATGTTTTTTGTAGCCTCTGAAAACGCTATCCAAACAACGGCGTTGAGACAATTATCTTCAATGCCTACACGCTTTTAACTGTAACCGTCAATTTGTGCGTCCATTTGGTTGATTATGTACGTTGCTGAAACAATGTCATGCGCCTCCCCGAAGTGGTTTCATGAAGAAGTTCAGCGCTTTGTCATTTTGCTCATAGATTTGTTTACAGCGACGAAAAGGTTGATCTCGAAGCCAAATTCACACCACAAGTATCCTTAACACTAGTGTTTATATAATTTCTATGGCATTGCAAGTATGCACTTTTGCTGTAAATTACAGGGTAAGTTGAAAGCAGATCCTTTTCAAGCATTGTCATTGTGAACCCGAAATGATCTTTTTCCAGGGCCGTCCTTTCATGGAATCCTTATTGGAAAACAAAGCTATGCTTTATAGCGTGCTTATCTCGGGAGCTTCTGTTTTCATGTTGGCAATAGGGGCCTCGGAAGATGCTATGCAGCAATTTGAACTTGTAGTGTTGCCGTTAGAAGTAAGCCACTTCACACTATTTTGATTTCCTTAATATGCTCATTACTGGAGAGATGGCAAGGCTACAAGATTCGTCGTCTAAGATTTGCCATTCTACAGAACTACAATTCCCATGAGCTCAATCCAGAATTGTACAGTTCAGAATAATTCTGAGTTGTATTCAATTGCGCGGCGCATCGTAGCATGATTTATCAAAACCTAATCGAACATCTTTCATTTTTCTTAGTTTTGTGCTGTCCCGGAGCCTCATTAGGACCTACATTTGTTCAACACAGAGAAGCTCCAAAAGAAATACCAAAGGTTCACAAGAGTCCAAATACTCCAAAAAAATCTTTCATTTTTACCTAGGAGTGATGTATGGATTAGTAATCAGTGAAGCGAGGATTTTTGAGCAAATAGCATTTTCCTTTTATTTCAGATGCGAGACATCCTTGTCTACTGTGTTGCTTTCGATCTCGTCGCCTGTTACACTATCGACCGAGTTTTGAATTTCCTTTATGGGGGACATGTTCTGAAAGTTTTGACATGACATGTTTTGCTGCTGCGTTGTGGCCATCTGATCTATCTGTGATTTTTCTCAGTTACAAGCGGATTCTTCTCGTTGTTATTTTGTTATTTATTGTTACTTTAATCTGAGGAAGCATGCGTTGTAAAATTAACTTTAGAGTTTCAACTGGTGCCGTGATCGTGTCTATCCAAATTCTGCTTCTAATTTCTAACTTGGTCTTTGTCGTAGACATATAGGGTAATAAATATTGCTTAACTAGCACAGTTTTTCATTCAATAATCTTGTTGTAGTCGACATAACTTTGTATAATTCTTTTGCACATGTTCTCGTCTATATTTTTGAATAAGCGTCTCTTGAAAAGCGAAGTCTCCGAAGAGTTTCTCTCATTATTAGAAGGTAGTAGCGCAATACAGATCTGCTGAGGTTTCTACCTAGACCTGAATTTTCATTGGCTATGCTTAGAGCTAGTGGAGTAGGCGGACTTGCTTTTTTCGTTAACTGATGATGAATAACGTGATGGGAAGGAGCGCCAGTCTGGAATTAGCTAGCCTGTATCTTGTTCGACTGGTGTCATAGTCTGCGATCCGTCGTGCGATTCGCGCGAATCGGGGAGATTAGCTCACTGTAGCAGCCAGAGCCGCGACATCTGGAGCATTAACCAGTTTTGTCCATGACAGTTCCATTTGGAGTGCGATTCGATATAAATTCAAGACTAAGACTCTGAAATTGAGTTATCACAAACGAAGGAGTTCACCTTACCCTATCAGTTCTGGTCACTTGGTAGTCTTCACCCATTTCGTTCCATTAGCGTGCACTATGAAGCATTTTCTGAAAAGTTGTGTTTGTTGGGAAAAACGTCGATAACGCTTGTGGTTTCCAAATAGAAGTGGTCGGTGAAATAGCAAAATCAGGTGAAGCTGTGAAAGCTCGTCTTTTACCGTTCCTACTTATTGATCCTGAGCAAGCTAAGTGAAACTGTCTCGTCCTGGGAGTTTCAGCGCTGCGAAGTTTAGACTGGTTTGGGGCTGAGAAGATCTGTTTGTCAACGGCCATGTTTCGATAGTCTAATGTATGCGGCGTTGTTGCAGCAAATGCTATGCAACCGTTTTTGAGCTTTTAAGGTGGTAAGGAGTACACCATGAGCGCAGACGAACTTCGCGACGCCGCCGATTATGTACTACGTTCCGTGTGTATTGAATCACTATCTTTATCTTCTGGTGAATATTCCGCTCTTGATACATATGAGTGAGTCCCTTCATTATGCGAAGGTTGTGACCATCTAAGAACTGTTCATAATTAATTGTTCAGCTTGAATCCTGAGAAGGTATCCGTGGATCCGTTATCCCTCCTGGAAGGCATCATTCGGCCAAGTGAGCCTGCAACGCTGCTGTGTCCATTAATAGATGCAGAAGGAAAATTTAGCGATGTTGTTGAATATGTCAGAGATCCGGGCGAGTTTGGCGCTTCCTCTGTCTCAATGGCATTAAACAGGTTCGGCTTTTACCGTCTTTGTTCAAGGCACATTCCACAATTGTCTAGTTGGAAGATGTGAATTGGTTGATCAGTAACGAAAAGATCTAGTTAGAACCCTTAAAAGCACATGCAATGCTGAACTATCGGTACAGACAGTCCCACTCACAAAAGACGACGTAAGCAAACCAGCCCTTTTGGCACATCGGCTGGGACCGTATGCTGAATGTTGGGGAGGGGATGGGGTCCCCAACGGTCGACGGTTTACTTCAACTCGGTTGGTACGATAGGAGAGTACTGACGCAAGTGGTGCAGCTGGTCCAGTAGCTTCGCCAGAAGGACCGGTCTGCTCACCCTTGGACTAAGCCTAGGAGAGGGGACGGACCCGTCCTCTCTTTAAGGCTTAGTTCTAAGGTAAGCGCCAAATTGTGGCGGTTCTAAGGACCGCGTTGAAGTGGTCCGTCCACCGTCGGGGACACCATCCCCTCCCCAACATTCAGCATACGGTCCCAGCCGATGTGCCAAAAGGGCTGGTTTGCTTACGTCAGCAAAGACTCCCGTCTTTCCGATTAAGGGCTATATGTCAACCTTAGTCTTCGCGCTTTTCAGTATTTTGCCGAGCCGCCCGCCTAGAGGGTCTGAATCTTAGAGGCTCCCACCGAATGCGACCGTCTCCCCGACGCCGACCACACACCGTCCTTATCATGGGCTGCTTTCTATAAATTTGATTTTTGAGTCCAGTCGCACGCTCAACAACTCCGCCCACTTTTTTCCTCTGAACACAGACCGTCAGCAAGGGATAGATAGTGTCCATAAGCCGCAACGCCTGTATACTTCATTCTATTCTGTGCTTGTTCGCCTGAACTTTTTGCCAATATCATGAAAAACCCTTGCACGAAATACTATTGACACAAAGCACAGTGGCTCCGAAAAAAATCCGAGCCAGCGAGACACTCCTTCAACGACTCCTTCAACTTCTATCGTTCGCACTCTTAATATGATAGATCTTGTTCAACCCCGAGTAACTCCATATAAAACCCCTCTCCAAATCGCAAATACTAGCCCTCTCCTCTCTCACACCCCGCTCGAATGGCGCGAACAAACGGTTGTCCCTAATCATGGGAGGGGAAGCAATGAACATTGAAAAGGCGCCGTGTTGCCGAAACTTTCGACGTGGATTTGCTACTAAAGGTTCATAGCAATTCATTTAATCCTCTTCATACCCGTCGACCAACTAGCACATCTATTTTCACTTTTAACGGCGATAACTCACGCTGAGGAAATTGTCAAATTTGTCGGTAGCACAACGCTGAATAGACATCTTTTAAGATCGCCTGCCAATGACACAACCAGTATCAAGGGCTCTTCTAGTAATGTGCCGTTTTATCCAGGTAGAAAATCAGTTCTTTTTCAGCAGTAGTGAAAGTTTTATTTGCCAAGAAGCTGAGTTCTAGGTGGTTTCGATAGTGCGTTTGGTAACGTGATGGCATTCACTGGCAGCGAAGAAAACGTTGAATGCGATGAGAACGAATTTTTCCGTCGCGAAGGTCAGCTTTGTAATCTCTCATTTTTTTCTTTAAATTGCGTTGAACTACTCTTTCAGATCTGCTTTCGTGTGCACCTGGAATGAAGAGAGGGTTGGACCTTGTTCTACCTGCGTGCTCTAATAATAAGGAAGAACCTGCCACTGGAGCTGACACCGTAAAACAAGATGGAACCATAGATTTTGACTCTGCCGACTTGTTTGACCTCATGGACTTCGTTGGTGGAGGTCTGCATTTGTTTGGGGCTGCAAGTCATGCCCACAATACTAACGATGGTCATTTCACAGGCGCTCCTTTGATACTGCCTGCTGAGACTTCTTCCATGGAAAAAGAAAAAAGCCCTGAAGAGCCGCAAATAACCCTTGAGCCAAAGGAGCCGGATTCCCCTGTTATGGAAGACGTCCAGGTATCATCAAAACATTTTAAATTAGCTTTCTGAATGATTGTTTTGTTCCATTTACATGGTTTGCTTACTGACCTGCAGGAAAAAAGGAGATTTTGGTATGATCGTCCCTTGGAGTTCTTCTTCACTCTTTCTTTTGCACGCCATTGTGCACCACAACGGTTTCCATGGCATTTTCGGGAATCATTCTCTCCCTCCGTCAGTTAATGGCAGAATGATGGCAGAAAAGTGTAACGGCTAGTTGAGTTGGTGTTTGAGTTTTAAACCAGTGACGACCAATGGTTTGTGTATGTAGTCGACATTTTTTTAAAAAATTTTCACATCAGTAGTCTTTGAACCTTCAATGATTTCATCACCGGCAATGATTGAATTCTTTTTCGGGCCCAATAGCTCATACGCACCTCCGCTTCCAAACACGAAAAACGTCGCGCGTAAAGGTAAAGTGAACGAAATGTGAGTTTGGCCAAACGTCGTGCTACGCGTCCGTCAGCGTGAAGCTAGCAATTCGGGAGCAGATCC